TCTCGCGCATGTCAGCCAGTCACAGCCAGAAATGGTGCTCCCGGACCACCATAGTGAACATCGCACGACCCAGAGACTGCACTGTAACCTTCGTCACTCGTGGCGCGAGGTTCGCCACGGCGCGGAGTTCTCTGCAAACTTCCGGGTCGTGACCACCCTCGTGCAAGTCCCTCAGTGCCTTGGCCTGGTGCACTTGCAATCACGCCGTAGTGTGTAAGGCGGAGGCAGCTTCTCCACAGGTCGTATAGGTATCGCTGGCCAGTCGAGTACCTACAGACCCGGGAGGGGAGGCACGGTTCTCCCTGCAGGTTGGAGGCGGTATTAGGACACAATTGCATCGCAACCGACCGCTCCACCGGGGGGACCCTTGTAACCCCCTAGCTGCCCCACCATCGAGGGTGGTGAGGGAGGAGGATCCAGAAAATCAGTTTCTGGCAGTAAAAAGGTGCCGTCCACGACCTGTTGAGCTCCTCATGCACCTCCGGGAAGAAAGGCTGAGAACCAGCGCGGACCACCCCGAGAACCAATCGTGCAACCTTGAGGAGGTTTCCTGAAAGGGAACCACTGTTTGTTTGCTTGCTTGCTTGCCTGTTTGTTTGTTTTTTCATTGAAAAGGTCCAACGTTTTTACATGTTGTATATGATAATATAGTTTTCTCTGAAGTAAATTAGATTTTAATGTAAATATGTTTTTTTTATGTTGCAGCCTCATGCTAAAATGCTTTAAATTACTTTTTCAAATCAAACTTGACTCCATAGACCATAATCCCAAAACTGGAAAAAGATTTGGGTTAACTTTGCAATGTATTAAAAAATGTATTATACTTTAGTATAGGGACCAATTCTCACTATAAACTAGTTGCTTATTAGCATGCCTGTTATTAACATATTGGCTGTTTATTAGTACTTATAAAGCACATATTCTACATGACCATATTCTACATCCCTAATACCTAAATTTAACAACTACCTTACTAACTAGTAATAAGCAGCAAATTAGGAGATTATTCAGGCAACATTCGTAGTTAATGATTTGTTAGTAGCGAAAATGGCCTTAAAATAAAGTGTGACCAAAAATTTTTACTTACTTAATAATTACTGTTGGGTCATCTTTAGGATGTTTCTGCACTTTGATTGGAGTCCATCACATTTAATTTGATTGGACATGTTTTGGAAAGGCACATACCTGTCTACTGTATATAAGGTCTAGCATGTATAATTAAGGTATAACTGGTCTAATGCATTTCAGAGCAATAAGCAAAGACGTATTATGGCTAAGTGGCCTCTCCTCAGGACATGACACAAGAAAACCTGCTTGAAGTGCCTAAAGGACTCTCAGACTATGTGAAAGAAAATTCTCTGGTTTGATGAACCTCAATTCCAAGCATCATATCTGGAGTAAACAAGGCACTGCTCATCACCGGTGAAGCATGGTGGTGACCTATCCAGGCTCATTGGAAATATGTGCCTGTACCTACATTTCTGCAGAACTAAAAAAAAACATACCTATATGTACAAATCGCTGCAGTTTGAACACTAGAGGCAGAAAAACTCAGACAACTTTTAATCCTTTTCACACAAAGTATGATTTACCGGGACAGAGTTTCCAACACAGTTTGCTTGGTAGCTCATGTGATACAGCGTTGCACTTGTAAGGTGAAGTGCTTCAGTACGAATCCTGTGAAACTAAGGTTTGACAAAACAGCTCAAACCTGCGTATAAGAAAGTAAAATAGCACGGTTGCATCAACGATTGTGTTTTTGTGTCACTTTGCATTTGCTAACACTGTCGGGTTGGGTTTGGTGTATGTTATTTTCCAACATGATGAAGCATTAACGTTTAGTGACGATTCCCGGACATTTAAATTCTGAACCGCCACAATACATACCTGGACCAACGTAATATACCGTATTGGCCCGAATATAAGATGACCCTGATTATAAGACGACCCCCTTTTTTCAGAGGTAAGGCTTTTTAAAAACCAAATCTTGTTTTTTCTCAGTAAAACACATTTTGTCTTCAATTATTTTCATATTGCATATTTTTCCTATTTTAATTTTTGTTTTGAAAATATAGTAAAAACTGGTTAAATGTACCAACAATCACATTTAAAAAATATACACTTTTTGATATACCATTAAAAAAAAAAAAAGGTAGCCCATCTGAATTAGGACATTTAGGCTATCCATCTAATAGTAGCCTACCAAAATCTTATTAAGAGCAGAAGTTAAATCTTACTGTAGTCTTCAAATCCGGGCACTGTCTTACGTTTTAAAATCACAAAGGGAGTTTGGTCCCATCAGGACTCATGCAGCTGTAAGCTTTTCTTTTTCTTTTGTTTTTACTCGCGATCTTTACAACACGCATTACATTACGTATTTCATGGCACACTCGTGTTATGCGTATTTGGCGCCACCTATTGTTGTGGGTGTATTATTGACATGTCAAAGTGTAGACCCTGAATATAAGACGACTGCGTTTTTTCAGATGTATTTCCAAGAAAAAAACATCGTCTTATATTCGAGACAATACGGTAAATGCAGCAATATGTGCCTGTACGAACATAATAAAAACATGGCCATGGTCACGCATTGAACACACATTTTTTAGTGCCACTAACTGGACTTTTTACTTTGGAACTGCAGCAAAAAAACTGATTCAGAGCGCTCAGACGGGACTGAACGTTCACCTTCCAGTAGGACAATTACTCTAAGGACACAGCCAAGACAATACAAGAGTGGCTTAGGTAGGACTCTGTGAATGTCCTTGAGAGACTCAGCCAGAGTCCAGACTTAAACCCAGTCAAATATTTACTGAGAAACTTGAAAATGTCTGTCCACTGACGGTCTCAATCCAGCCTGAGAGAACTGAATACTTCCGCAAGGCAATGTATATCAAAATCTAAAACCATCACTGTACCATTGTACCACCACAGTACTTTTGTAACTCTACTCAGTTGTCCACTACCAATCATAAAGTCATAGCATTATAAAACTGTTAAGTGTTCATGTATCAGGTGGTCTTGTAGAAGATATTTAAGAGAGATATACAGTGGGGAAAAAAAGTATTTAGTCAGCCACCAATTGTGCAAGTTCTCCCACTTAAAAAGATGAGAGAGGCCTGTAATTTTCATCATAGGTATACCTCAACTATGAGAGACAAAATGAGAAAAAAAATCCAGAAAATCACATTGTAGGATTTTTAAAGAAGTCCACTACCAATCATAAAGTCATAGCATTATAAAACTGTTAAGTGTTCATGTATCAGGTGGTCTTGTAGAAGATATTTAAGAGAGATATACAGTATATTAGGGAAAAATAGAGGTGTGTCACCTACTGCATTACAAAGTTGCTTTTATATTATTACCATGACCTTCTCTCAGACCTCCAGTATTTTTCTGCTTCTTTTCTCTCATTTTTATTTTTTTTCAGTCAGGCAGTATGCTCTGCACCTTCTAAGCATGTTAAAGAATAGCTTTTTTCTCCAGTGTCCCTATTGACTTTTTTTGATGTCATGCTTTGCCAGTTGCCATGAAATGTTACAAGGTCCTCTCGGGTTCAGGAAGCAAAAATCCCATTCATCTTCTCTGTAGAGAAACTGATTTTTAATGATAATATTTAAACCATTAAAGGCAGACCTAGCATGAGCTCAAAAGTTGTTAGAGGATGATAAATAAAATTACTATAAAATTACTGAACATATAATTCTGTACCTTTAATATTTTGTCATACATTTCTAATCGGTCTTATTTTACATATTGGGCAATAACCTGGTCTGTAGTTTTATAGTGTATTGACTTTTTTCAGTCTTTTGCAGTGCTGAAAGTTTATTCTGTCATAAAATACATTAAGTACACAGTTTTTTACAGCAATAGTTGCTCCGTACCAAATGTTTAATCTTGTGATCTCAGAGCTCATTGATTTGGTTCATGACTTAGACTATTTTTATTGAAAAAATGTTTTAGATGCATAGAGAAATACTTCCAGAAACAAAGCCAGCAAAAATTGGCAGGTACTATCATAACAGTGCTGCTCAGTGCCAAACATCAAATACATGTTTGTTTGTTTTTTTCTTGGGCAATGTAGTCAGTATATCAATGGTTGTTTCTCCAAACGAGACATCCCCTTAACATCTACAATTCTCTTAGATGGTTGGGTAATAAAGTCCTGCCCAATCTCCTTTACAATTCATTTTAGTTTCATTTATTGATTATTATCATTTAATGTTGTGGGGTGTAGTTGTCCTGCTATATTAACTGATAATGAGCTCAGAGTGATCATCCTATAATCAGGCTGCTGAAACATTGTTTATCTTTACCGTGTTGAAGGATCACATTAAATAATCTCTCGTCCTCACTCTCCTTGTTATAACAGCTACCTGCGGGGGCAATGTGACAGGGCCTGCTGGGGTAATTCTATCACCCAACTATCCCCAACCCTACCCACCAGGAAAAGAGTGTGACTGGCGGATAAAAGTCAGCCCTGACTTTGTCATCGCTTTAATCTTCAAAAGGTAATGTGCTCACACATCACTGAGTGCCTCTCACTCTCATGACACCCCGAAGGGGTGTAACATCTCTTACATGTTTATAGTCACAAGTGCATTTTTAAACTCCAGTTTCTATAAATTTGAAGTGTATTTGAACATATTTAATCTGGTTTTAATTTTGAAATGTGGTTGTGAATTGAGAAAATGTTCTCTGACCTCTTGACAAGTTTATTGTGCTACATAAATATACTGTAAGATTCAGAACTCAGACCTTCCTCATTAGTCCAAAAATTTATTTAATTAAAACCAAGCTGCTAAAACAAGTCATTTTGTAATCCCTCCTTTTAATACACAATAGAGATTAATACAAGACTCCCTGCACAGGCACAGAACAACACCTGCTTCTTCATCGTTGTCTCTTTGGCCTATCCATGAACCGACAGGATAAAAATGTCAAAAATGCATCAATTGACTATTGATGCATTTTTGGTAAACCAATCACAAATCGACACAGACTTTGCAAATATACTTTTTAAAGAAAGATATAGAACTGACAGTATTGTCATAACATATAGGTGACTATTTTAATTATGCTTAATGCTTAAAGGGGTCATATGATGCTTTTTTAAAGATCATAATTTTGTGTATTTGGTGTAACAGAATATGCTGACATGCTTTAATGTTCAAAAAACACATTCTTTTTCAAATACTGTACATTATTGTAGGTCCTCTATGCTCCGCCTCTCTCAAACGCTTAGTTTTCTACAAAGTCCCCCCTTCCGACAAGTGCAGTCTGCTCTGATTGGCCAGCTGATCTCTCGCTCTCTCTTTCTTGCGCTCTCGCGCTCTCTCTCTCGCTCTCTCTCTCTTGCGCTCTCTCGCGCTCTCTCTCTCTTACACAGGCACAGAACAACACCTGCTTCTTTTTTTGCGCACACACACACACGATGCGCAAAACTCCGCATTTGAACAGTCAATAGCAAATACTTAAACTAATAACAAAACAGTAGCTGATTCAGAAGCGCCAGATTGTCATAGCAAAGTCAGAATGACCTCCTCTCCTAGGTTCACGAAACGGTCGTCCATAAAATGCATTGCTGTTCTGTTGTAAGTGATCTTAAAGATTCCTAAATGCATCTACTTTCGGAAGGCCAAATAAAGTGCTTTTGCTTTCACACTGAAACACACAGCGTCTCCCTGACATGCTGCTTCAACACTAACTGCGGTTACTGAAACCACCCCTTCTTTCTTTGCGTGCACATTTGGGCGGTATTATGCTAATATTTCCACATAGTGAGGGATATATGTGGGGGCGTGTTAGAACAAGCCATTTTAGGGGGGCGTGGCAGAGTCTTAACTTTGATAAAGAATATCTCTTTGGTTTTGAGACTTTAGTCTTTGCAACTTCAGGGATCTTATCTATGCACAATCAGCTTGTAACACTCCAAAGAGAAAGGAAAACTTGAAATTGCATCATATGACCCCTTTAATTAAAGAAATAGAAAAATAATACTCCCTTTATAATCACTGGAGCTGTCAGTCACTTCAGTTCAGCGCTGACTGAGTTCTGTACTCTGGCCAAAAATCCCATTATAATCAATGCCGCTGTCTACACTTCTCATTGAATCTCATATGTAAATTGTGTTTGCATTGTGTTGATTGTGTTGTTTATAATGAAAGCACTTGTGAGAGTGCAAATTTCAAGTTACAATGGCAAGATCATTGTGTTCACACACTCAACAGACATGACTGTGATACAATGTTCAGCGATGGGAGTAGATCTAAATGTTATGCTATAATCAACCCTTTCATCAAATAGTAAATCTCAGAAGGTGTACTAGTCAAAAACATACCAAAGGTTTGCAAAAGATACATTAAACATAACATGTATACAAGGGGTTAAAATTTATTTGTAAATTATGACCATTTTTGATGTAAAAAAAAATCATACTAATTATATGCACCTCGGGAAACATTATTAAAACAAACAAATAAAAATAATAAAATAATAATTTAGTTCACGACCCCTTTAATAAACAAACATTCAGTGAACAGGGACTATGCCAGGTACATATGTAGCATTTCTAGACAAATCAATATGCCGTTGCCAGATTACATTGAGTCAATATTTCATTTTGTTTAATAAATAAACTTTAACTTTATCATTGCGGGGCTCTTAATTTCAGAGAATACTATCATTTACCTTAAAGTCTTTAAAATGGAGCCAGACTGCATGGAGCAGATTTAGAAGATGAAAACCTGAAAAAGAATTTCTAAGCTAATGATTTTTATTTTATTTTTTTGTAGGGGTGGACTCCACGACATGGCAGCAGCAGCAACAATACTACAGCGAGAATCAAAGTTACGCCTTCTTTCTTTGCGTGAACATTTGGGCGGTGTTATGCAAGTCTTCCCACACAGTGACGTAGACATGTGGGGGCGTGTTAGAACGAGGCGTTTTAGGAGGGCGTGGACAAGTCTTAACTTTTATAAAGAATATCTCTTTGGGTTTGTGACTTTTGTCTTTGCAACTTTAGGGATCTTATCGATTCACGAACCGCTTGTAACACTCCAAAGAGAAAGGAAAACTTGAAATCGCATCACATGACCCCTTTAAAAAACGTAAGGATTTTGGATACTGTCCCAAATTCTGATTTCAGTAAGGAGTACGTCAACACAGCCACAGCTAGGACAACTACTGTATGTTCGTATAGCCATTTCATGGGGTCTTTAACAGCACCGCCAGATTTTGGATTTACTTGTGCCATTGGCATTGAAGTTTGGCATCTGTACTGATCTGTACTAGCAGTGAAGTAGTCATCAGCTGCCATGTTCGTGGCATATAGATCTCACATCAGTTAATTAGCAGAAGTTATCACTCCACTGTATGCATGACGTCAATAATGTGACCATATTTGGGAAACAATCGTGAGTGGCTAGTTAGTTTCCACAATGGCGTATTGTAACGTGGTAGTTAATCAGTGAGTGACATTGTTGTACGAGAAACACACCCCTGGAGTGCTAAATTCATGCATTAGTGAAAGAGCATATGCTAAATGGCTCGCAAGGGTGCAACTTTGCTGTGATTAGTCAAAAAAAAAGCTCTTTAAGTGGTATTGAGTTATATGTTGTAGTTCTCTTCAGCAATACTATTAACCTTTCTCAGTGAATACCTGGCAATATTCCCCACGGAAGAGCATTTTGTTCGCCAATTCGCTCTTTGTAAATGCTCTTTTAAAAAGAATGTGAGTTTGTATTGCGAAAATCAGGGCATGCGACAATGACAATGCACCGTCCCTAACGTGCTATGCACCTCCCTGAAATCATTTCTACTCCCAGCGGCCCTTTTTATATGATGATTATGGTTGAGTAAAAGTGCAGTTCATGGATTGTTGAATATTTTAATTGTAATTATTTTAATGGCAGCCTATTGCACAGTGTAGATGAACTCTGACTTCAACCTTTTGTCTTTGCTCCACATGAATACCCAATGCATTTAAAAGCTCGCTTGCCAATGTATTATATTGCTTTGTTGATGGTCTCAACATCCCACAATGCTTCAGGATTTCACTTTCATGTCGTGCCATTAGCTTCGCCCCGTGTTTGTCGGGAAACTGAGAGATGCATGGGAGTTTGATTTTTGCTACGAAAGCTCATCAGATAACACAATCACAATTCACAGGTGATGGGACTATTCAAATTCAGTGGTTGAAATCCTGGTGGAGCATCTAATTTTGCAGTATTGATTATATTTTTGATAGTATTTCATTGCATTTCTTCTGACTTCAATTTAAAGGTGAAGTATGTAATATCTGCTAAAACTGTTTTTTAAAAAATTTTGAAGTCTATATCATTAGTGGGACATTTGTGTTGTTTCTGGACGTGTGTAGCACATGTTGCAAACAAATAAATAAACAGGTTTGTTTGGCATTTCAACAGTGATTGTGAATCATCACAATTGCATGAGTAATTTGCAAAGGTTCTGCAAAGACTGCAGTAATTGGAAAAAAAAACTATGCAATATAACTAAATAAACACTATGTATAAAAATGGTCCGTTTAATTTTTACGGGTGGGAGAGGATGGAAATGGTCATAAAAAGCTAAGCAATTTAAATTTTTACAAAGTAGCCTTGACTAACATTGTAAGTGGACCTTTAATGTTTGATATGACCTTGTTAATATTAGAACTGCACATGTTCGGAGTAGGAGCCATTGAAAGGATGCTGCTTTCTCCTTCATGAATCATTGGTGTTGTCTATGTAATTGTTCCCAAGCTCAGATCTGAAAGTGATTATATCATTGTTTGCTGTTTGTTCTTTGATTGCCACAACAACACACTATTCTGAGGCCTAAATATGTATCTCACTCTCTCCATCGGAGCCTTAATTAGAACATGTCATATATTTCAATGAAATGATGGAGTCTTTTTCTCTTTGTTGTTGTATTTTCTTTTGGTTAATTCAATGTCCTTATTTGCTCACTGTTTCTTTATGCAAAGCCAATCTTTTTATCTGATGCTGTTCATCACACACCAGTAAACACAATTATTAATGCCTTTACTAGGGGAAAGAAATGAATATGACAATAATACAGTCCAAAGACTTTTATACCTTGAGGTACAGCACAACAGACTGAGAAATAGAAAAATATTAATATATTATAGTGGCCCTTAAAAACATGTACAAACATGGTTAATTTACGATTCATTATTTTATGGATCCAGAATATATATATATATATATATTTATACAACAGTTCGTTCTGGTTCTCAAATCTGATTGGTTGAGAACCGTGAGATATTGTACTGGTATCGCTACAGGATGCCCTTTCACAATTTTGTATCACTCCGCTTGTTCTAGCCGGGTCTATGTTTTTTTTTGTAACTATTCACTGAGCTAATCATAGAGTACATTAGTTAATATAAGAAAAAATGTCTAGCTTCGCGGTCTCTCTCTCATTTGGATGCACGTCTTGCCGCATTGTTTCTCTCTTATAACCTCATTATTTCTCACTAATAACCTAA